GGAAGCAATGCATTAAGAACTGTCATACGGCATCTACAACAAAGTCTTATCCAAAGGGATAAGAGTATCAGACAAAGTAGGAACAAATTGGAGAAACAAGGCAGAGTAGACCCGATGTAGTGGAGGAAGGGGGTGAAGACACTTGAGCAACCTGTGGTCGACCGATCCAGCTATAGGACACCCTTCAATCTACTCGGGAAAGGATGGCGCGAAATCTCCAAGATACCGTGGCATGGATCCAGACCGACGGTGGTCAGATCTGGACAACCAACGAGCTCTTACCCAAATCAAGAGTCGAGGGTCACCGGAATTGTAAAAACAAGCTATACAAGAACACACAACAACACAAACAAACAAACAACAGAAAAACCAAAAGGGGTCACCGGAAAGGGACCCAAAAACCGACAGACCCCGAAGGGTCATCGGAGGAAACCGAATGACCCCAAAGGGTCATTGGAGGAGGGAGCATAGACCGTCTCCAACATGCTTGAGCGGCCGGGGAGCCCAGTGACTCAAGCATCAAAACCTTGGAAGCTCAAAGGCTTCCGATCAAAACAAACACAGCGCTGGAGAAGGGAGTCAGAAGCAAGAGAGAAGGGAGAGAAAAGGGGAGAGAGAAGATTTTAATAATAAGAAGTTGTTAACAATAATTTAATAAACATATCCCTAGTTTAACTCATAACAATATCTGTATTTTTTGTATTAGATCATCAGCTTTCAATATTTTAAATGTAATAGATTAGAAGTCCTCATCCTTTCCTTATAATGTTTTTCGCTTAATCCCCCAACACCAACCTAATTTCCTCCTCAAAACTACGTATGTCTTCACCTCGCTCCAAAGCTCTTCTTTTGCTGAACCTTTGATCTTCTTGTAGAAAGTTTTATTACTTTGTTGTGAAGGTAGTGTAGAATAAGAGTTTTGGGCGATTTGCTCAGATTTCAAAATTTTATAATTTGAACAACAATAACAGGAGGTTAGTAAAGTTTATTTTTTATTTCCAACATGACTCCAATATTCATAAATGATAATTTTAAAGATTTAATTATTTGTTTCGTTCCTTGAGATTGACTTGGGTTTGAAGATCAAAGAGAGAGTAAGAGAGATGGTGAGATGCATCTATGGCCATCAATAGCACTGGAGGATTCGTTCAATGTTTCTTATGTGAAAAAAGTTGTAGAACCTCCACAGGATGTATAACGTTGAGAAGCAGTGTAAAACTCTGCCTCTGGTGCCTTCGCATTTTTTAGAGACATACTAATGGTCTTTTCTTACTTTTTACTATGAAGGTACTCCTTTCTTCTTGCTCGTACAAAATTCTCTTGATATTTGAAATTTATGCGGATGGGGTATTGGTGTTTTGATTTAA